TCTTGTTTAGTTTTGTCCATCTCTATCAGATCTCACTTTTGCAAGTATGAAGGGATTGACAATCCCTTTATCGCGTTGGGTGCAAGTTGTTTGATTATTTGTGCAGGTCTTGGTGATTTTTGCGTTGTCTCCTACTGGATAGATACCTTGGTTCTCAAACTGAGGGTAACACTTATCTCTATTTGTTGCATCACCCGTTCCTCTTCAAGGAAAAAACCAACATAGGCTCAATAAGTAGCACCAAACAATTGAAGCTATGCACACCAGAAAAGATGCACTTACATTCTCATGCAATGATGTCTTGTTTCTTCCTCTCCTACTTCAATCTCAGCGATTACATGGAAGTAAAGACCTGCCAAACAAGTGTTGCATCCGGGAGTTTAACATTACCACAACTATCGAATCAAATAGAACTGAACCAAATCAAACTAGTCTAGATTCTTTTTGAAACCAACAATGTACATGAAGGTGGATGACCTCCTCAAGGAGCAGACTTGGAGATCCACACTGGCCGAGAGCGTCACCTCCACAACATCTGGCGTCACCCTTTGACTGGTGCCGTCCATCGACATCCATACAACAGTCAGTACACACACACACACACACACAGAGAGAGATAGAGAGAGAGAGAAAGAAAGAGAGGAAGAGGGAAAGAGGGAGGGAGGGGAGAGAGAGAGAGAGAGAGAGAGAGAGAGAGAGATGACAACCTTGCTGCTTGACGGGTGGTTTAGGTCAATGGAGCTTGCTAGTGTCGATAGCCCTGTCGAGTCGGGATGGGATAGGGAGACAGGTGACGCTGGTGTTCCCGCAGCGTCGGCACCAACACAACGGTGGCATGACGGCGTCGAGGAAAGGCTCATACGAGCTAGAGATGAGCCCGCGCTGTTGTTGTTCGATGCGCGTCCGCACCAGTGACATATTCGCCGAAGATTAGCCGGATGATCGAAATCGAGTAACTGAACCCATGGAGATAGGTAGGGTCATCAACGCCGGCGAGTGTGAGGGCGAGGGCAAGGATTGGATCGAAGGACTCCTCTTGATAGTGTGGCTTACGCCATCTCTTTGCGTGGGCGGCGCTCGTCATATGAGCGGCTTGGGCTACTGCGTCGGCGTGGCGGTTCGGGCTGGACGACAGAGGGATTTTGCTCCGGAGAGAGTGCGGGGCCGCAACGCCGACGAGGGCGAGGATTGGATCGAGGAACTCCTCGCCATGGCTCCACGTCAGCGCGCCGTTTTGCGCTTGGACTGCAGGGGGAATTTTGTCGGTAGATAGATCGAAAGGGGAGGAGCGAGGTGTTGGTGAGGTCGTGAGGACATGGGGCGTGGGACGGGTGTGCCTCCTGCTTTTTAGGTGGGTTTTCTTTTTCTTTATCGTGCGTCGAGTTATGTTGTGCATTTGTTCCATTCTTTCCTTGGCTGATCCAGATCATGCATGCTTTGGTGGCAGTTTGCAGCAGTCGAGAGGAGGGGCAAGGGATCCCTAGGATGGTGGGTTGGGGAGGTCGAACGAAAATGATTCCAATCCTGCTTTGACAGTAGAGATTTGGTCTTCAGAAATCGATTAAACATTGATCATGATTTATTCCTTTCCATATAAAAGTTATGAAATACTATCAAAAATAGATCTTATTGGCAGATAAAAGTTACCAAATACTTCAAAAATTGATTATAGATCGATCATGATTTATTTCTTTCCATATAAAAGTTACCGAATACTACCGAAAATAGATCTTATTGGCAGATAAAATCGGTTTAAATTGATCGTGGGTAAAATCTAGTTTAAATGTGTTGGTGTGATAAAAAACGGTGGGAACGAATTAACCGGAGTGAGGCGAGACTACCAACTCAGACATTAGG